AGCAAGGACGCTACTAGGGGCTCCTGGCATCGCTACTAGGAGCAAGGAAGCTACTACGGGCTCCTGGCCTTACTACTAGGAGCAAGGACGCTACTAGGGGCATCTCCAACCCTGTTGAGGTTGTGGAAGGTCAGGCCTATGGAGCAGCTTGGCACAATCTTCAAACCTCCTGACACCTGTTAGCCTGAAAGCACATTCGAATGGTTGCAGACACTGCTTGTTTGTTGTCCTCAGCGGAAGTGAAACTCAGGGCTACACGCACTTCATTGTTTACACGCGCTCCAGCTTTGTGGAGCAGACCACACCCAAAAGCCTTTCGTTTGCTGAAGCGACAGCAAAGTATCAGGCCACAGATTGAACATGTTTGAACCGATTTCACGATCTACATAGATTTATTCTTGGCAGGCCAAAGAAGGCCCTTTACATTGATGTTAAACTTGTCAGAGTCCGATGAAACAGATTATATAACAACAGGTTTCCTCACCTGCCTTTGTGGACTATGACCTCGACGAAAGTGAACTGGGTGGCACATTGAGCTGGTTGGCGCCGGAAGTCACCCTAACGGTCACTGGCTACAGAGTCTATTTGGCAGAGGAAAGGGGTGGACCAAGAAACACTTGACAACCTGAGTCAAGCATAGCATTTCAAGTTCTAGCCTGAATTTATGATGGAATTGACTTCAACATCGCTAACTTGTTGCTGCCAGGATGCCAATGGCACAAACAGGTCACTTCTGGGAGAACAAGTTGAAGGCCAGCTCCCAACGCTGGACCTTTTCCCTGTGACTTGTTGGGCTTGCTCGAGGAGGAAACGAGCTAGCAGACATCAGAAACATAGAAAAGTCACGACTATCATTTAGAAGGGCCTTCGGTACGTAGTATTTTGGCATGTGCCTGCTGACATTGTTTGCCTTTTCGTGTCGAACTTGACATGTGTCAGGCTCAGACTACCTGACTGTGCCAGTGAATACGCAACTCATGCACTTTGGCTGAGCAGAGATGACTTCATGTTTTTCATGAAGACCTGTTTGCTTCGCCACAATGCAGCCAACTGAGACCTTAGTTTCTAACATACATATTGGAATGAGACCGATGAGACAAGGAGCTTCAGCCACTTCCTCATCCACTCAGTGTCAGCTTCTACCGAGCAGCGCACACCTGTGTCTCTAGCTATTGTGGACTCATGGTCGAGCGTGACTGGCCTTTTCTTCTACGACCAGGACTGCCTGGTCTTTGCTTTGCAAAGGGATTAATACTTCCAAAGCGCAAAGCGAGAAAAACGACGCAGTATATTGAAGCATATATTACAACGAGCTTCAGTATCGTTGCTTGAAAGAACATCATGATGTTCTTTAGAAGTTTTGCTTTGCTTTTCTTCTCATTTTCAGTTCGGTTCAATGGTGATAGGATCTCGATGAGATGGAGGCTTGGACGTGATGCAATGACGCCAGAACACCAGAATGCATTGAATGTTCACTCGACTCAGTTGCGGCGCTGGCAGTACCCTGGAAATGAAGAAGCTAAGTCTTGTCAAGATGTGCAAGGTTTGTAAATCAAAGTGATCCAAATGAATCCTGCTGGCAGTACGGTGGCTATGCGATTTGGTACGCTCCCACCACCAGTCTGGACCTCCTCCTGGGCTTGCGCATGTACCTCAGCGACGCGTCCACAAACATAGGCAAGGAGCGAATGAGTTCACTTTGAAGGATTTTTGTCAAACAAGTTAGTAACAAATCCATTCAAGTCGTTTGCGTTTGCCGCATGAACAAGTCGCCGTTTCGTGTTGACAGGATCGGAGGTTCGCAGCCAGCTAGACGGAGATTTTCCTGGCACCACCACCATTCGGGAAATTTACCCAGACACCCCGAAGGCCGCTTGATCGACAGATGACAGAATGTTGAACGGAAGTTCAGAGGCAACGAAAGAGTTCAGACTCGGTGTCAAGAGAGTTGACCTATGCCTGACACCCAAGCTTCCATAAGCTTCCAACCTTTCAGGTGAATGAGTCATTCGGTGTCAACTTTTCCTACCTGCAGGTGTGGGGCGGTTTCTTCCAGCTTTTGTGAGTACTGTCAAAGAGTTGTACAACTTTACTTTAGGCTTGTCGAGTCTAGGCTGAATGTTTGGTTGCTGTAGTGCTTCTGGGAGAAAGCGGTGCGGTTGATTGACGACTAATTACCGATGTCTTGGAGCGAAGCGGCACCACTGGCTTTGCCAGAGGTGGTGACATTCTCCCTCCTCACGGAGCAGTCCCAACCTAGCTTCATCGCCATCTCCGACACTGCCGCCTCAGCACCATGGCAAGATTTTTGACATACTACGAAGTGAATGATCGAAGATTGAGAGCAATGGAGGAAGTTGTTCGCGGAATTTCGCGGATATTTTCAATGTCTCCTGTCGTCCCAGGTCTCTGCCCTTAGCTTCTTGGATTTGGATTTGGATGAGAGCGAAATGGGCGGTACGCTGTATTGGGAAGAGCCCAGCGACACTTCGCAGGCGGGAGAGAACGAGTGAAGAATGAGACACAGCATGCAGCAGCATGCTCCAACATGCTCACATGAGACACAGATGCTCTTTTTTACCGATGCTGGATTCTGTCTCATAATGAATCTAAAAGACGGAACATGCTTTTCAAGCGTTCGACAGTGTGCAATGCATTCAACAGCAAAAGTTGCACAGTGGCCAAATTCACTTTAGAGTCGTCCTGCAGGTTGCCAGATACCATATTTACAAAGCAGGCACCCTGACTGACCTTAGATTGGTAGGACTCCACTATATACTGTATATTTAAGCCGAACCAGATCTGTAGCGCATAGATGTTTGCTCGGAGCACTGGGTGTCTGTTGCGTCACCCAAGCTTGTTTTGTTGGAATGCTCTCAAGTCTTTATTGTTTACATCTCTCTTTGATTCTGGCTGAGGTTATGATGACCAGAACCTTTCAGCAGATTTACACGCTTTGTCTTTCCAGTGTGGTCAACTGGGGAACCTATTCCAAGAACCATCGCACGCCTGTATTGGCATCAACTGCATTAACTTTTGAGAGTACAATCTCGAGCCTACTGCCCTTTCAGGAATGGCACGAAGGAGGACTGGAGCCTAGAGAATCCTGGTACAAAGAGTGCACAAAGGGAACACGATTTGACAGATATTTATGGCCCCCCCATGCCTGCTCTCATTTGCAACTATATATGGATTTTGACATCAAAGGAATCTGAAGTGCGCTATGGCTGTGCTGAATTGCCATGTCACATTCTTCTGAAGACCCAAGAAGGTAAACACGTGGACAGGAACAAAGAAGCTACTAGGAACAAAGGGCATCGCTACTAGGAACAAAGGGCATCGCTACTAGGAGCAAGGACGCTACTTACTAGGGGGTCCTGGCCTTATTACTAGGAGCAACGATGCTACTGGCTACTAGTAACAAAGGGCATCGCCGCTAGTAATAAGGGCATTACTACTAGTAGCATTTTGGAAGCTAAGATTTTAGTAGGAACTTGATTGACCTTTCAGCCTTTGAGGAATCGGGAGTTCATCGTGATGTTCAACCAGCCGGCATGGTCCTTTTACTTTCCAATTGATTACGCTATACAGACCTTCACTGATGTGTTGGTCTATGCAGCACCTTGGACTTTTTACCAGCGCCACTTTGGTAGCGTTTGGTTTGCAGCTGTCCAAGGTTGGCAAGTGGGGGCCACGTTACTACGAGCAGACAACACCTCAAGTGCTGAAAATTGTCGACTCCATTGCAAGTGTTTCCAACATAGTCTGTGATGATCGAAGCTTGGCGCTTGAAGCCTGGAATTTTGACACCCAATTTTACAAACTCATAGACCTCATAGACTCATAGTGCCCGAAGTCTGTTTGTTTTTTGTTTGTACTAGTAAGGCACCTGTTACTACTAGCGTGGCACTTGTTTCTAATAGCTTCTTGTTACTACTAGTAAGGCACCTGTTACTACTCTTCACGCAGAGATGCCTTTTCGAGGAGATTTGGATGCCGAAGAGATGGGGGGTATTGTCACATGGACTCCTCCAGAAGACGCATCACTGGTGCTGGTGTATCGCAGCTTGGTGTCAAACAATAGTGAGGCAGACGACTTGACTCCCCTTTCGACTCTTTGGCGGATTTCAACGTCTTGAATGGCAAGTCATTCAATCTTGGATTGGTCTGCTACTGAGGTCTGTATGGAAATTCAGGAGGCACCAAAACACAGCCGCTTTGCCTGGAGGTCCTTGGAAAATCTGCAGAAGCAATGGCTTCCACAGAGATCATATTTGGACCGCGGACTGATCAAGAGAGAACCTTTAGCCGGGCGCAAAAATCAGAGGAAGATAGGAGGAAATTCTACAGTCTTCCAAGGTTTGGAAGTGATGTCGAAGTGGGCACCAACCACTCCGAGCTGTACAACTTCCCAACGCAGCTCGTTGGCGATTTGGTCAGAAGACTCTTGAGAGATCTTAAGCACCTCCAAGCCATCGAGCAAAAACTTGTGTCACTTTTTGCACCTTGCACAGTTCAAGGACCTACATAGAGCCAGGTTCCATGACTTTTGAGTGGCATGGTCTGAAAGCAAGACAGACAGCACATTGCATGCGCAAACGGCAGGAGCTTTGGCTTCCTGGAGATTGTGACCGTGTCCTCTCTCACTGAGCAAAGCAGCCCCGTCACCTTGCCAGTCAGTGATTCGTTGCTCGGAAGAAAGACCTAGGAGCAAGGACGCTACTAGTAGCTCCAGGCCTTACTACTAGTAACAAGAAGCTACTAGTAACAAAGGGCATCACTACTAGGAGCAAGGACGCTACTAGTAGCTCCTAAAGAGCTCCGTAAGAGGGAACACCGAGACAACGAGTTGCGAGAAAGACACTGCAACCCGTATCACTTCGATGGCAACGAGCTGCACCGACTTTCCAAGGGTGGCTTCAGTAGACAACATTTCCTTCACCGACTACGACCTTGACTTCGGAGATATCGGGGGTACTATTGCCTGGGACAAACCGGAAGATGAAAGCAAGGCTGGGGAGCTGAAAGGCGTAGTGTGGTGCACAGGAGTGGTTGCTCAGGAGCAGGAACTTGAGTTTTAGACTATGCAATGCTTTCGACTCTCTCTGCATTCATACCCGCCCTTCACTTGTGCACAGTGGGCACAGGTGATTTGAAAAAATTTGAACTGTCTCGACTTCGCTTCTGTTCATCATTGGCTGAGTTCCATACTTGTAAAATCCGACTCATCAGCTATTGCCGCTATTGCCCTCACAGTTTGCAGGTCCTACAGTATGTGGTCTACCTTGCTGACAGCACGACTGGTGGAACTCTGGTTGACCTAGCAAACTTCTCGGATCTTGGTGCCTTAGACACGAAGGGGTCAAACTATGCGAGCTGCGGGTTACGGTGGTAATCAGCATACACTTGCCACCCCACATGTGGATCGGACTGATTTGTTCTGAGGTGGCCGCGCTGAGCTAAACACTGTCCCGCAGGGGCAGTACAATGCCAGTATAGCTGTGAATACCCAGGCTGCGTACTGGTGAGGGCAACTGGGTATTTGTTCAGTCCCCTTTTTGACACATGGCATTATTGATAGGAAAAGCATTAACAATACCCGCCATGAAAGCAAGCCAGCAAACAAGCAAGCACACATTACATGTCATGACCATGTCATTGCCACTGCTTAGAAGCATTGCGAAGTGACATGCTGATACGAAGCAGGTTGGCTGCAGTGGGCTGCAATGCGTGGGAACGCACCTGCTGGTCTATACACAGCACCTTGGATGACACCTTTCCGTCTTTGATGGACCAGTGACAGTTGTTCAAACGGACTGAATTGCGAGGAGCTGCTGCATGACTTGAGAATATGTCTTTTCTTTACTTATATAAATAATCTTAAATGTTGAGCGGACCCGGACCATCCAACTGGCAGCTGCTCCATGCATGTTTGCGCAGGTCGGATTTCACTGAGCAGACCACCCCAGTAGCATTCAGCTTCTACGACACTGACAGTGTCACGTCTGAAAGGCTGAAGTGGCTGAACAGCCCTTATGTGATCGCTAAAAGGAACCTGAAGCTACTAGGAGCTCCTAGTCTTGAGATACAAAAGTCCAATCCTTGGCGTTACTTTGACATGTAAACCTACTAAACCTCCGACCAGCACAGCGACCGGGCGGCGCTTGCTTGAGGTCTGGTTGGAAACTTGACTTACATCGGTCGAGATCTTGACCTGGGAGAGCTTGGAGGCCACCGCAAGTCTTTTTCGGAGGCCATCGCTAGTAGGTTGGAGGCCATCGCTAGTAGGCTGGAGGCCATCGCTAGTAAGTTGGAGGCCTCGCTAGTAAGTTGGAGGCCTCGCTAGTAGGTTGGAGGCCATCGATATATGATATAAGGTTGGAAGGTTGGAGGCCATTGCTAGTAGGCTGCAGGCCATCGCTAGTAAGTTGGAGGCCTCGCTAGTAGGTTGGAGGCCATCGACATTAAGGTTGGAGGCCATCGCTAGTAGGTTGGAGGCCATCGCTAGTAGGGTAGAGGCCATCGCAAGCAGGTAGGAGGCCACAGCAAGTCGGGGCAGACCATAAGGTCGCTAATTACGTAGCGTAAGTAGCTTCTTAGGCTTGAATGCGGGAATAGCTCTTGCACTATTCATTTGGTTCCTAGATTTCTTGGGAAAGATAGACACGCACACAGACCATCCAGATGTCTACAGTTGTGCAAGCATCCTTTCCACCAGACTTGCAAGGAACACAATGTCATCCCCAGCACTCAAGACAAAATTCTGACAACTTGCCGCAGGAATTGCAATTTGGGATCCTCCCTCGGATCGCGATCTCATCATCAGCTACGCTGTTTATTTTGGACAGGTGCACCAATAGTTTCCTGCAAGTTTTGACTTGAGACAAAGAGCTGCTCGTGAACTAGCAACAGCTACTTGCCAGGATTCGACCGGCTCTAGCAAATCGCAGCTGGGAGTTGTTCCCTTTGGGACCAACGTGCTGGACCTGGGTTGACGATCAGACGAGCGGCTTTCTAGTTGAGAGGCTTCTGAGCCCTTGAGCAACCTTTAGCAAACAGAATCACAAAGGAATAGAGCATCGTCAGGTTTCGATCTGTTGGATTCGCATGGTAGAAGGGACCTCTTTGCGCATCACTCCTGGCCAACTGGTCAGGGTCTGAAGGACGTTCCCACCACTCTGTACCAGCAGATACCAGTAGCATCTAAGACTTCAAAACCCGTAGCATCGCGATCCTCTTCTCCTTCAGAACTGAGGGACATGCAATCCACAAATTCTAGGTTTGACATGGTGAGGAGCATCCACCACAAACGTAAGGTACACTCTTCCAATTCGAGAGGAGCAAAGACTCAGCTTTACCCTTCACATGTGCTTGCATTTCAAGCCTACCCAAAGGTAGCCTACGGCCCCTCCAGAAAGGGTGGGGATGTCCTAGAGCCATAATTTTCAATCTAGCAAAATTAGTGGCAACAAATTGACTCGACACGGCCCAATCTACTTCTGGTGCTTAGCAACTGTTTCCTCGTATCAGCGCTTGCAGGACATTCCTCCAGAGATACCGCAAGTGCCACACGAGTATCTATTGGTCTACAGCAGGCCCCTGCCTTTGCACTAGGTCCCAAAGGGGAAGAGAGAGAGAGAGAGAGGGGGGGCCTCGCATTGCATTTCAGGCCATTCTGTTTGCAAGATTTATATAAGACATATGGGCCTGTTTTCTTTTTTTGGTTTCTTCATGATATGCAAAAGTCTAAATGACCCATGGTGCACAATAATGTTAGTAGAAGTATGAAGCCATAGACCAGTGGTCGTGGCCAGGTCATCGATTGCTGAGATGACAACACCAGCCTTCGTCAAGCTGGAGGTAGCTGGGTGCTTTGTCCGCTGAAGATAGTCAGGTACAAGACAGAGACTGAATGACTGAAAGACAAAAAAAGAAAAACATAAAGATCCTAAAGTAAAGGCCCAAAAAGGAAGAATCACAAAAAAGATCAATCAAGTATACATAAGGTGAAACTATTTCAATTTCATTTTTCCCTATTGTTGCAGTAATTACAAGAGCACGACAAAGACAGACAAAGACTGAAAGGACCTATGAGGAGCCTGTAAGGAACTGTCTAAGGCACAAGGCCCTACAAGTAGGATTGGTTATGGGTTTGACAAGATCGCGTTGTGCGTGTTGTGTTGACAGGCTCAAGCTTTTCTTCACAACTTGAAAAACTCGTTCTGAAGACACTCTTCCCACTTTAAATCAGAGAAGTATGGTTGTCGAGTTTCCCGGACACTCGACACGTCGAGTGCAGACCGAAGATATCGGCCCCTTGACCTTGTGCAGGATGCCGACGGCCTGGTGTCCAACGTGACCTTTGTCGATCAGGAAGGGTTAATCCAACGTTTCCAACCTGTAGCCCCCGATGCCGAGCTTTGTAAGTGCTCACTCTTATTCTTTTCTTTGCAGTGGACATTTGCATAGGCGAGGGGCCAAGGATAAGGAAGCTGAAACACTTCCTCAATGAGATTCGTGAAATCCATTTGCTTTTCCGCAGTGAAATCATCCTTTGTCGTCAATGGCATTTTCTCTGTTTATATAGCTCCAAAAATGTGCTTTGCCTGCCATCGAGCAGCCTTTGAAGGACCTGGATGAAGGAGAGCTCGGAGGTTTGATTCAGTGGCGAGTGGCAGGTGATGTCTTGGAAGTGACAAGCTGCTCGGGCTTGCAATATATGATATGAACCAATATTGCTTGACACAGATATCAAGTTGCCGTGTGACTCATGATGAACAGACATCAGAGATCATCAGTATCAGAGTATTTCTACTGGAAATCACAGCTCGTTCACAAGCTAAGGATATGCTGTCTTCTTGGCAGAGGATGTAGCTGGCAGCAACAGGCGAGGATTCCAGAAATTGTCCGCTTGGATACTGTATGAATCTTTGCTTGTGAAAATGAGATGGACTGAAGCATTTGGTGTGGAGATGTGTGAGGTCATTGTTGGGATACTCAACTGGTGCTATGGCCAACAGCTTTCAGGTGCCACCCGAGACTCCCGTCCAGTCGTTGCCTGGCGAAGCAATCGAGTCGGAGTTCTTCTGCGGTCCGCGTTCTCCTGAGGTTCACACACATCACCGTCTTCGCGGAATCCAGCCTAGTTCTTTCGACGACCCCTTATGCTGCCTCTTGGCTCCGTAGTTGTGTATCCTCTTGAACCATTCAGGAAGTTTTCATTGATCAAGAACGAAAGTTAGGGGGTTGAAGATGATCAGATATCGTCCTAGTCTTGAGTCTTAACCATAAACCGTGCCATCTAGAGATTGGAGGTTGTTACTTGCATGACTCTTTCAGCACCTTATGAGAAATCAACATCTTTGGGTTCCGGGGGGAGTATGGTCGGAAGGCTGAAACTTAAAGAATTGGCAGAAGGGCACCACCAGGAGTGGAGCCTGCGGCTTAATTTGACTCAACACGGGGAACTTACCATGTCCAGACATGAACCCAGTTGAACCCGGCTCAACCCTTGAAGGTCAAGTTTTTTGACAATGTGGCCAGCGTCACGGCACTATTCTTCTTTGATCGAGACGCAGATGCTGAAGAGATTGGAGGAGAGGAGTAATTACACATGGCCTGTAGTCCGGCATTGTGCAGTTCTTTTTTAAAATGTTTTCCAGCGAGACACAAATGACGCAGACAATCATTGACTTGATCTAAAACACAAACAAACAAATAATCAAGCAAACACACAAGCAAATTAGATCAGCATCGACCCCGAATAGCAAGAAAAGTAAAACAATCCGTGGCAAAACATGTGCAGGACATGCGGGTAAGCAAGGAGACAAACCATAGACAACAGGGACAAAGGGCAACACAGGCCAAATCGCCTTGGAAATCCTTTTAGGAGGCAAGAAGGAAGACCGAATGATACAAAAGGACAATCATGCCGTGACAGCCCCCAAGTTGTAGGGAGACAAAGGGAGACAATTGTGCCATGACGGAATCCAATTCTAGGCAAGAACGGAGAGCCTCTCCAGCTGGTAGCTGTTTGAGTAACGAAGCAAGACAAAGCATTATCCTCTCAACCCATCATATCACCACATGATTGCGGAGACGGGGGAAGACAAAGGAGACACCATTCGAAAAGAGGCCGGGAATCATCATGGCCCGGGAATGTTTCTACTTCACAGGAAAGCTGTTTAGGGAACAAACAAAGAAATAAACAACAATACAACAACCAACAAACAAAACAACAGTCACCAAAGATGCTGATTAGTTCCCGGATTCATTCTTTGATTTTCTTGGATTTGGGTTTTGTGTGTTTTTCTAGGCCCCATTTCCTGGTCTTTGCCTGCAGCACTCGATGAGCTGGTGGGTTTCCGTGCCTACTTGGCACAGGATGCCATCGGTACAGGGTCTTTGCCCAAGCTGATGAAAGCATCTTTGAAGTGGTTGGACTTCCTTCACAGACCGATTTGAACAGATTTTTACTCTTTCGGTCTTGAAGATCTTCGACATTCGGAAGGCTGGGGCGCCAGTGATACTAAGGCGTTCACAAATCGGCTATCAGATGGACTGGAACTGGTCGCTTGGTGGCAGCAATCCGTTTCCAGCGCCATTTCTAAGCACTTCAATTGTGAGGACAATGGTGGATTTGCCCTCAAACACGCCGGTGGAGGACTACACGCACATTCTGGTCTATACTGTCTCCAATCTTGTGGAGCAAACTACCCCTGTGGCCACAAACATCGAAGATGCAGGTCTTATTGTTTCGGAGGCGTGTGTAGAAAGCACAATCCTCAATCCTTCAATTGCAATACTTTGAAGGGCGTTTGCATAAAGGTTTTCGGTTTTGAGCATATTGATGTTGCTGTGGGCATATCGCACGCGCATCGTACTCATCTCACTCATTTTATCACTTTTCAGGCTGGCTTTGAGGATCTTGACTTGGACCTTATGGACATTGGTGGCCCTGTTTCCTGGAACCTCTCAGGCAACGTGTCTGACATCACTGCCATCACGTGGCGTGGCTGCTAGAATTCAGGGCAACATGTTTGGCACAGTTTTGACCTCGAAAGTACAATCTGACGATAGATTCGATATAACTCGATAGATGGTAGAAAGTTGTTGAGATCATGAGCGAGTCGACCTTTGAGAGCGTTCGGACAACAACTCACCGTCATCATGGTCTTTGTCTTTGGTTTCTACTTCTCTGAGCATTCACTTTCAAGCGGAAGCCTGTTGTCACTGTCCTTTGGGGAATCCCTTAGCAAAGAGGGTCTTCCTTTGTGGATCAGAGACTTTCAGCTTTTTGCTTGGAAGAGGACGTGTTAACCTCAGAGCAAGGCACTATGCCATATACTTGGGATGGGTTGAAGAGATTGTTGAAATCATCACAACGGCGACCACTACGACCAACACAACCAATGCCAGTGAGGCAGGCAGTGCTTGGTTGAAGTTTGGGCACTTGTTGTACCATGGGGATTAATTGGGCAGGCGACTACGACATCAACGGTCACATCAACATCAAGTACGCGCACATCGACCACTACTTCTACATCCTCTACCACATCCAATGCCTCGAATGATTCCGATGACGCAGATGCTGGCTGCAAAGAGAGACACTTTTTGGATCATTTTCCATTGCAACTTGCAACTGCATATTGCAAGCTGCATTGCAACAGGATTTGAGTTTCCACTTGGCCAAAGTCAGTGAGTCAGGACAATTCAAGCAACACGAGCGAGAGTGATGTCTCTGACGACTTGACCACTGCAACAACATCGCTCTCAACTTCCACGACATGGGAGGACGCCATCCATTTCACACCTTTGAGTCCACGCAATGGTGCCAAAAGCCTTCACAGGATTCACATGCCACAAATCTTTGCAATGATCCATTTTCACCAAGAAAGCACATCTTTTTGCTGCATTGTCGACTGTGTCTGATGAGGAAATAGAGAACATCAGCAACACATCCACCGAGACCACAACTGCGGAGGTCTGGCAATCAATTGCAGAGAAAACTTATTACATCTTGTTACTAGTAGCTTCTTGCTACTAATAGTAATGCACTTGTTACTAGCAGCGATGCCCCTGCTGCTAGTAGCTTCTTGCTACTAATAGTAATGCA